AAAATAGGGAGTGACTGTTAATGTTTACAGGATTTCTTAGGAAAGTGATGAAAGTCATCTAAAATTGATTATGATGATGGTTGCACAACTCTATGAATATACTTAATAACCATTAACTTGGACATTTTAACTAGGTGAATCATATGGTACATTAATTATATTTAAATAAAGCTTCTTAAAAAAAGATTATGGCCATGAAAAGAATTATTGCCTGGTCTGTTCACTGAATAGAAATAATGATACCCTGGTAGCAAAGAGCTCCCTTAGCACCAAGATAATGAGTTATCAAAACCATTCCCAAGTCATTTAGGAGGTTAGGGGATCTCAGAATAGGATGTGATAAAAGAATCTAACTGCATTACAAATGTATGAAACAACCTCACTAAAGAGGATAGGGAGACAAAGTGTGATCCAAGTAACTTTGGAAATGAATGGAATACATAAATCTAGAGGCAAAAGGAACTGTAGATAAGTCCTATACTCTAGGCAATAAAGTTGTTTCCCCTAAGGGTATGAGTTAACAATTCTGAAACCATTATATATCTATACTGGAACTAAGCAATTAATATGTGGATGGTGGATGATGGGAGCCAAGTTTCTTTCTTACTGTTGGAGTTGCAGGTTACAGACAAGCAAGAGAAGTTGTAATGTGATAATGGATTAAAGTTGGAAGCCTCAGTAAGAACCCATCTTTAGCTTAATATACATATAATAGTTACATATAAAATATGAATAAATAGAAGTGTATATACACAAGCTAGTAAACATACATATATTTGTTTTCTCTGCCAGGTGAAAATGTGTAGAAGCAATGACACCTCAACAGCAACAGCATGCCTATCTTGTGTTTCTTTTTTTTAAGTAAACTCTACCTCCAATGTGGGACTTGAACTTATGACTCTGAGATCGAAAGTCACATGCTCTACTGACTGAGCAAGCCAGGCACCCCCTAATCTTGTGTTTCTTTTTCTTTTTTTTTTTAAGATTTTATTTTTGAGTAATCACTACACCCAACATGGGACTTGAACTCACAACCCTGAGATCAAGAGTCACACCCTTCACCAACTGAACCAACCAGGTTCCCTGACCACCCCCCCTTTTTTTAATTCATGAGAGACACAGGCAGAGGGAGAAGCAAGCTCCCCACAGGAAGCCTGATGCAGGACTCGATTCCAGGACTCCAGGATCATGACTTGAGCCAAAGGCAGATGCCACCTAGGTGTCCCTAAGACTGGTATCCTTAGGGCAGCCCGGGTGGCGCAGCGGTTTAGCGCGGCCTGCAGCCCAGGGCATGATCCTGGAGATCCAGGATCGAGTCCCACATCGGGCTCCCTGCATGGAGCCTGCTTCTCCCTCTGCCTGTGTCTCTGCCTCTCTCTCCTGCTCTGTATCTCTCATGATTAAATAAAATAAAATCTTTAAAAAAAAAAAAAGACTGGTATCCTTATAAAAAGGGAAAATGTGGACACAGATATAGAAACACATAGAAGGAAGATGATGCAAATAGATTCACAGAGAAGATGGCTATCTAGAGCCAAGGAGAGAGCCTGAAAGAGCTCCTTCCCTCCCAGCCCTCAGAAGAAACCAACTCTGCTAACACCTTGATCTCAGTCTTCTAGCTTCCAGAACTGTGAGATAAATTACTATTGTTTAAGGCACCCAATTTCTGCTACTTTGTTATGACAGTCCTAGCAAAGAATATAGACAGCAAGCAGAACTAAATGCTTTTGCCTAGAAATGTGTATATATGTAGGAAAACTATCCAAGAAAGCAAGAGAATAAGAAACACAGTCTTCTGTGGAGGAGTCAGGGATGCCATGTGGGGGAAACAGGGAGCTTCATTGGTTTGTGATCTTCTGCTTCTTGAGATGCTAGTGGTTACATGAATACTGGTTGGTTGGTTTTTGTATTTTTTTTTTTTAGTAGGCTCCATACCCAGTGTGGGGCTTGAACTCACAACCCCCAAATCAAGAGTCACATGTTTCACAGACTGAGCCAGCCAGGCACACCTCATGAATACTCATTTTATTATTATGCTCTAAAATAAATCCTTATGTTTATATAAAACATTTCATAACTTTAAAAAAAGTCATAAAAAACCAATCTCAATTATGGGAACATGTGCAAAGTTCTCTTGCAGAGTTTGGCATTATAAGAAAAGGAAGTAGGGACAAACACAGAATCTGTTTCTCTTCAAAGTGGATATGAGACTTCTTTGGTAATATTCACTTCTGGTCCTTCTGGACCTCTTTCATGGTCAGTGGAATGTGACAGAAGGAAAAAAAACAAAAAACAAACAAAAAAACCCCTCTACTTCCATTTTTCATGCCCCAGAAACGTGTTCATTTGAATTCAACAATGAATCAGCTGAAGTGACTAATTTATGTAGTTTTGAGAATGGAGTCAGCAGATTTCCTTAATTCCAACATTGACTGCAGTAGGAAATAATGTGCTTGAACTCATTCTACATCTTGCTGGAAAATAGGAGTAATGTTTACCGCAGAACAGTAGTATGAGGCTTAATGTTTCAGTGGAGGTTTTGGATGAGAGGTGTTTAAGGAATCTAGCCTGGGGATCCCTGGGTGGCTCAGCGGTTTAGCACCTGCCTTTGGCCCGGGGAGTGATCCTGGAGTCCCGGGATCAAGTCCCACATCAGGCTCCCTTCATGAAGCCTGCTTCTACCTCTGCCTGTGTCTCTGCTTCTCTCTCTCTCTCTCTCTCTCTCTCTCTGTATCTCTCATGAATAAATAAATAAAAATCTTAAAAAAAAAAAAGGAATCTAACCTGTTTGGGTTGTAAGCAAGATTGGCTGTTTTCTTGTTTAGCTAAACAGAAATTCTATTTTAGTCTTCCTTTTGTATGGGCCTGGTGCTTGATATACTTCAGAGGCCAGCAGACCTGGCCCTCTCACCTTTCAGGGAAAGTTTTAGGGTTTCTGAAGCCACAGCCAGGTAAACCATTACCCTGCTCCTTTGAGTGGTGCTGCCCTACTGGAGGGCACACCTTCCCTGCCGCTCAGGTAATGAGCCCTTCTGCAGCGAACACTTGCCCTACACAGGAGGATTGCTTAGGGCTGAGCTACCTCAGGAAAAGCAGATAGCATCAGGTGGGAAAGCAGTCTAGTCCCAAAACCTGACAACTGAAGGGACTGGGACTCAAATTACACATCTAAATGTTTGGGAGTATGGAACCATGAAAATGGACAACTGCTTAAGTGGACATTTAAAAACTCTGCACAAAGCAGCAACTGAGTCTTTTTTTTTTTTTAACCTAAGGTAAAGGACACGGTTGAAGCTCTTCTCAGAAAACAGGTGGGATTGAGGAGATTTATTTATGACTTACTGGAAGCACAAAGAGAAGCTTTTATTGTTGATGGCTAGGCTGGGTGGATGCCAGGAGACACATCCCATAGGAGTTGTGCTGCCAAGCACTGACACACAGCTGACCTAGTCTTTTTTTATGCTGACTGCTTGCTCAGAAATTATATCAGAAAACGGTATTGAAAGACCCAGTGTGATTTGGATTATGGAGACTTTAGAGCAATCTTAAGTCTAAGGAACCATTTGAAGGGAAATAGAGAAGCCATATATTCATTAGCTTTATGTGGAACTACATTTCGGCTCCTATAGAAAAACTGCCTTGAGACAGCTCTGCATGGCCAGGCGTTCAGTATCATCCTCCTTTCTCTTCCTTTGAAACTACACATTTAAATTCAAGCTTTCAGCAAATACCTCCTAGATACCTCCAGAGGGGGAAAAAAATCTAAGGAACACATCATTGTAACCAATAGCTTTAAGCTTGGGAATATTTTTCAGATTCCGAAGTGAAAGTCAGAGAGAGAAAGGGACAGGATGTGCATGCTGGGATGGTTTGAAAGGAAGGAAGAGGGAAGGAGCAGGGGAGAGGAAAGATGAATCTTTTAGGGAAATAGTAATCCAAAATGCAGAATAATTCATAGATTTTTCTTAGACTCAACAGAACCATAAAATGTCAGGGCTGGAAGGAGCTTTAGAGATGATTTCCCTGTCCCTCACTGGTTATCTTACTGATGAGGAATCTTGGACCAGAAAAGTGACCTGTCCAAGGAGGCAGAGCCAGGTGGTGACAGAACCAGGCTGGAAACAAGGTGTACTCATTGTTCTCATGACACCCCTGGCCTCCCACCACATCCGCATCTGATTCCCACTTTGCCTGATAGCTGTGACCCCTCATTCATCACTTTAAGAGCTTTGGACAAAGGGAGTAGTCAGCTGTTGGGGTTGGAATTCAGTGCAACTGCCTTCTAGCCTGTGTCTTGTATCTTCACATCTTAAAATAAAGAAATCAATTCATTTTTTCAGTCAACTCATTTTTCACTCGGAAGATCTTTCATTTAAAGAGTCTCAAATCTTTCATTTGGAAAATATGACACTTACATGTAAAAGAGGAAAAATAACCCCAAAGAATTGCTTTACAATGCCATTTACAGCCTATTATCTTTTATGATATGAATCCTACACATGTCCCACGACCATCCAGGTATTATCAGCTGCCGTAATCTCCCATTCCTCCCCTACAGCAATACTTTGTTATCTCCATAGTACTGTGAGTCCCAAGGATTTCACCAGGGTGAAGCCCATGGGCCTTTGGCTCTTCCAAATAAGCTGGTTGAAGCTATTTAGTTTGTAGAGTATTTGGGGGGAGGGCATGCATGGTAATTGGTATAATATAAAATATAATAACAGTATGTGTCTAGAGCTCAGCCTTGGGTCTTTAATTACCTTCTTCTCACCTTTATCACTGTCTTGCACTCCACTAGACATGCTGACGCCTCAACTGCCAACAGGCCAATACAGAAATTTCTGTTTGTTTCCTTGAGGTGTACACAACCAAACCCAGAAAACTATACAAATAGAGACTCTAGTATGGATTTTTAGCAGGTGGCTGGTACTTGGTACCCAGAATACTCTAGGTATCTGAGTTCTGTTTTGCTATCTAATATTCATCCCCTTTTTCTTTAGGAGACGAGGGAGATTATGCTCCTGATTTCCTCACCTGGACACCAGGACCCAGGCGAGGGAATAATACATGCAGGGCAATGGTGAGATGCTGCCTTAAATTGGGGAGATAAAATTATCTTGATAAATGTTTAAAAAAGATTATTGTCTGTACAGATACACACTTTTTGTCTCAAGACAAGAGATTCTGAATCTCATAAGCATCTAAAAGAGATTCATATGCAACTTACTAAATCAGCAAAAATTAATTTGGAGGCATCTACCCAGCGTTCAATGATATGCTAAGCAACATGGGGATAATAGTATTAGCTAATGTTTATTGAGTTCTTATAACATGCCGGGTATCCACTGAGCACTGTATATGAATTGTTGCATCTTAGCAGTATAGCCACTCCTGTGAAATAGGTATTTTTATTAGCTCCATTTTAAGTATTAATAGCTAAGGCAGAGAGAAGTTAAGCCATATGTCTGATATCCCATAGCTGGCAAGCAGGAGAGCCAGATTTGAGCATAGTTTACTTCCGGAACTTATGATTTTAAAGTAGTATGAATCATGGCTCCTACCCCCAATAGGTTTATAATCTAGTTGGGGGGAAACATGACTAACACACATTAAAACAATAGTAAATTATGTTAGCTGCGCATATATAATTAAATGCTAAATTTGATGCTATTAACTATGACTGCTTCAGGAGATCAGAGGGCACAGGGAGGCATGGACCAGGCAGGCAGGATTTCATGAAGCTGAGATGTGCGTAGGGAAAGAACCGCCTCAGGCAAGAAGGTGGCTGAAGTGCTAAAAGCAGGAGTAAGCAAGACCTGTGCGGGAGGATGAGACAGCCAGCCTGACCACAGCTGGGTGGAGCTGATGAGGAGGGCTGGATAGGCCATGAAACCTTTAAAGCAAGCAGAGTTTAGGCTTGGTGCATTAGCGAGGAGAGAGTCATTAAAGGCTCTGGATCAATAAACCAATATTAGAAAAGAGATGTTTAAAAGGAAGATATGGTTGGCAGGGCAGAGAGAAGCTGTCTCATTAAAACTGCAGATGGCATATAGCTTGGAAAAACATATATGAAATTACTCTAAATTGTTACCAGTCTCTATTCTCCAATTCAGAATCTTTGATTCTGGTTTGATCTTTATTTTTTTTAAGATTTTATTTATTTATTCATGAGAGACACACAGAAAGAGGCAGAGACATAGGCAGAGGGAGAAGCAGGCTCCATGCAGGGAGCCCGGTGTGGGACTCGATCCCAGAACCCCAGGATCACGCCCAGGGCCAAAGGCAGATGCTCAACTGCTGAGCCACCCAGGTGTTCCTTCTGTTTGATCTTTCTCATTTATTTTTGCATTTCTTTTACATTAGCAAGTTCTACCTCCTTAATACTTTTCAAATTTGTCCATTTTCCTACATTTCCTTGCCATTAGTTTGGCCACCATCCTAAGGGGGAGGGGAGGTGTCAGAGGCCTTTCTGGAAGAGAAGACATGTTTCCAGAGTCCTGAATATTTGACGAGAGTTAGCTAGGAATGAGAACAGAGGTAGAAAGGAGGTGGGAATGAGGAGGTAGGAAAAAGATCAGGGGAAAGATAGCATAATGGGTAGAAGAAAGCAACAAACGTGGAATACAAGAAATAGTGCTAGGGACCATAAGGGAAAGGGGGGAAACTGAGTGGGGAAAAATGAGAGAGGAAAACAAACCATAAGAGACTCTCAACTCTGGGAAGCAAACAAAGGGTTGTAGAAGGGGAGGTTGGTGGGAGGATGGGGTAACTGCATGACCAGCATTAAGGAGAGTATGCGATGGGGATGCCTGGGTGGCTCAGCAGTTTAGAGCCTCCCTTCAGCCCAGGGCATGATCCTGGAGTCCCCAGATTGAGTCCCTGGATTGAGTCCCAGGATAGAGTCCCACATCATACTCCCTGCGTGAAGCCTGCTTCTCCTATATCTTCTGCTTATGTCTCTGCCTCTCCCTCTCTCTGTGTGTCTCTCATGTATAAATAAATAAAATATTAAAAAAAAAGAGAGAGAGGGTATGTGATATGATGAGCACTGAATGTTATAATATATGTTAGCAAATTGAATTTAAATTAAAAAGAAAGCAACAGGACAACTGACACATAATTTGGCGCTAAACCTGGGGTGCTCCAGTAAGGAAAACGAAATGTGGCATTGACTTAGTGAAGGACCACCAGCAGGTGGTGAGGGTCCAGAGTCTAGGCTGAAAGGCTGAGCTTTGTTACAAGATCTCAGAACATTTAGTCAGAATTTTATACCCTTAAAGGCCGACCACCTCCGGGGGTGGGGTGGGGAGGTGGAAGACCCTTGAGGAGGTGGCATATTAGTGAGGTAGGCCTTGAACACACAAATTGACCTTCTCAGTGGAGGGAATGATCTTGGCAAAGGCACAGAGTCTGATAGTTTGAAGGACAAGGATCTTGAATACCATACAAGCTCTAAGAAGATTAATCCGTTGTTGGAGGTACCGCACGCTGGGAAATGGGCCTAAGTTGAGATAACTCAAATTTAAGGGGAAAAAAACCCATCTGGAGACTGCTTGTAATTTTAGAGAAATGTTGATGAATGAAATAAGTAAAAAATTTTAAGTTTTCAGAATTCAGTGAGAAGTTAGAGCTAGATTTTATTTTTTTTTAATTTTTTATTTATTTATTTATGATAGTCACACACACACAGAGAGAGAGGCAGAGACACAGGCAGAGGGAGAAGCAGGCTCCATGCACCGGGGGCCCGATGTGGGATTCGATCCTGGGTCTCCAGGATCGCGCCCTGGGCCAAAGGCAGGCACCAAACCGCTGCGCCACCCAGGGATCCCAGAGCTAGATTTTAAATAGCTTTGTTGAGAAACAATTCAGATACCATACAACTCACCTTTAGAAAGTATTATGATTACAAGTAAGTAAATAATTACATCAAATTGGGCAACTCTGTGATGAGGCTAAGGATGCAGCAGTTGCTCGTGGCAGTGATCCTGGGTGCCACTTGAACTCAATGTGACTCATAGTAAAACTAATAATTTGCCGTCCCCAGTGCTTCCCACTTTACAGAGGACAGCAATAACTGAAAATAAGGAACAAGCTATGTGAGTAAATGGTATATATGTGGTGTATTGCTACTGTAAATGTGTGTGGAGTGTGTGTGTGTGTGTGTGTGTGTGTGCGTGCGTGCGTGCATGTGTGTGTGTGTGAGAGAGACAGAGAGAGAGAGAGAGAAGATGCTTGACATTTTTTTAAATCCACTTCCCCATGGACAGCTGGTCAAATTCCTAACTTGTGAGGCTGCTTGGATAGAAGTAGTTGAGTATAATGACAGAATAATGCTTACCAAAAGTTTTTAACAACATGGGAAGAGATCTAGAACACTCTTTATGGGAAGTCTTGATTTCCCTATATTCTGTTTATATAAAAAAATGTAGACTTTTGATCCTTCTCCTCAAGTGCTAGCATTTCTTTATTTCCATGCCTTTTTCTCTCTCTTCAGCTGCCAAACCCCTTCTTAAACAGGGGAAGGGGAAGCTAAAATTACAGGCCTGGCGGGGGCACCTGGCTGGCTCAGTAGGTCGAACATGTGACTCTTGAGTTTAAGTCCCATGTTGGGTGTAGGGATTACTTAAAAATAAAATATTTTTTTAAAAAAGATTTATTTATTTGAGAGAGAGAGAGAGAGAGAGTGCACATGTGCAGAAGTGAGTTGGGGGAGGGGAAGAGAGAGAAAATCTTTAGACAGAATCCCCGCGAGGAGCTCAATCCCATGAGATCAGGACCTGAAGCCAAACTAAGAGACATTTAACCAACTGAGCCACCCAGGCGCCCCCAAAATAAAATCTGAAAAAAAAAAAAAGTTCAAGTCTGGCCTCTACCTAAGGCAAAGTAGAGAAAGAAACCTCACAAATATAAATGAGTTAACACTCATTGTTACCTATTATTGTACAGTATTTAAATTAGCAGGGCTACTTGCTTGCTTCCTTTAGTTTAGTTACAACATTAATCTTCAGTGCATGCTTTTGTAGCCATCTTATATGTCTCTGCAAAGCCTTTCACTCACTTTTCACTCGGTGTAGAATAATTTTATTCTATAAACTTGAAAACACTTCCCCTTTTTAGTTCACTTTATCTAATGATTTTCATGTCCCATTTCCCCTCATCCCAGTCATCAACAGGTACGATTTTCTGCCCCTAAGCATATTATGTTTGGTCAATTCTAGATCCATACTTTTTCACATTTTAACATCTCTGAAGTCAGGAATGTTACGACTAATGGTATCTGAAATTCAGTGAAGTACAGTAAGTTCTTTCTGAGTGAGCAGTTTACTTCCCACAACATACTGAATGATGTTCTTCCATCAATCCTTTGGCTCCAATTCATAAATCTTATAAGAAGTCTTGCCTTGGGCAGCCCCGGTGGGCTCAGCCGTTTAGCGCCACCTTCAGCCCAGGGCCCCATCCTGGAGTCCAGGGTTCCAGTCCCATGTCAGGCTCCCTGATGGAGCCTTCTTCTGTCTCTGCCTCTCTCTCTGTGTGTCTCTCATGAATAAATAAATAAAATCTATTTTAAAAAAAAAGTCTTGCCTTATTTTTGAGAAACTACTTGATATTAATATAATTCCAGGGATCCCTGGGTGGCGCAGGGGTTTGGCGCCTGCCTTTGGCCCAGAGCGCGATCCTGAAGACCCGGGATCGAATCCCACGTCGGGCTCCTGGTGCATGGAGCCTGCTTCTCCCTCTGCCTATGTCTCTGCCTCTCTCTCTCTCTCTCTCTCTCTCTCTCTCTCTCTCTCTCTCTGTGACTATCATAAATAAATAAAAATTTAAAAAATATATATATATATATATATATATATAATTCCATTATTTCTAGCATTCTGATATATATATGTTCCTAAGGAGCAAATGAATCTCCTTTATCAATTTAATGACTGTGTAATATTCCATTATTTGAATATATCATGATTTTATTACCCAGTCCCTATTGGTGTTATCAGTAATGCTCACATAAACCAACTTTATATACTTATCTATTTCCCTATGATATATTTTCTTTTTTTTTAATTTTTATTTATTTATTTATGATAGTCAGAGAGAGAGAGAGAGAGAGAGAGAGAGAGGCAGAGACACAGGCAGAGGGAGAAGCAGGCTCCATGCACCGGGAGCCCGACGTGGGATTCGATCCCGGGTCTTCAGGATCGCGCCCTGGGCCAAAGGCAGGCGCCAAACCACTGTGCCACCCAGGGATCCCTATGATACATTTTCTAAAAGTATAGAATAATTACTAGTTTTACTAGTACAATACAACAAGCTTTCCTGTCCCTGTTTTCACAGGTCTATAAGCCTTTATTTCTAGTTTAATGATTTTTTTTGTCTTTTATTTATTTTTTGTTGTGGTAAAATATATAACATAAAGTTTGCCATTTTAACCATCTTTAAGTGTACAGTTCAGTGGCATTAAGTATATTCACATTGTTGTGCATCTATCAATACCATCCATCTTCAAAAGGGTGATCTTTTCTAAGGTTGTAAATACATATTACCAAGTTGCCCTATAGAAATAAGTAACTACAGTACCTCACAACAACTTATTTATCTGTTAAACACTCATTTATTGAATAGTCTCGTGTGTCAGGCAATGTACTAGATACTCATAAATATTATATCAGTTAAGATGGTTTTGTTGCAGGGCGCCTGGGTGGCTCAGTCAGCTAAGCATCTGCCTTCCACTTTGGTCATGATCCCAAGGTCCTGGGATCCAGTGCCACATAAGGCTCCCTGCTCAGCGGGAAGTCTGCTTCTCCCTCCTCCTCTCCCCCTCTTCCTGCCATGCTCACTTGCTCTCTATCAAGTAAATAAAATATTTTTTAAAAATATGGTTTTGTTGCAAATAACAAAACCCAACACCAACTGACAAGCAATAGTTTTCTTTCCAAGCATGGCTGAAATCAGTTCTGCTCCTGTCACCAGGACTCACTTTCTCTCTGTCTTTCTCTTGCTTATGTTCTTTCCATATCTTCATTTTCAAGCAGGCTTGTCCTTTGTGGTATCAAAATGACTACAACAGCCAAGCACCCTATTGACTCCATGTCCAACAGAGAGAGCAAAAGAACTCCTCTTCTAGTAACTCTGAAGATTAAAGTCCTGAGATCTACTTTGACTGGAAGATTTAGAGCATATGCTCACTCAAACCAATCAGGAAGGCTATAGGAATGGGACAGTAACTGGCTAATTTAGATCTTTGACACATCCTCCACCCTGATCCCAGGGGTTAGAGGAACCCCATTTGAATCACAAAGACCAAAAGCAGAGAAGTCACAAAGAAAATCAACCTTGTTGCCAAAAGAACTGGAAAGGACACTGGGGTGGCAAAAACAATGTCCACGGCCATTCCGAAATAGAGTGAGGGTATCATATTTTTTAAATTTTTTTTAATAATAAATTTATTTTTTATTGGTGTTCAATTTACCAACATACAGAATAACACCCAGTGCTCATCCCGTCAATTCCATTTCTAGGAATCCCCCCTCAGTGCCCGTCACCCATTCATCCCCACCCCCCGCCCTCCTCCCCTTCCATCACCCCTAGTTCGTTTCCCAGAGTTAGGAGTCTTTATGTTCTGTCTCGTGAGGGTATCATATAACAAAGCATGCCATATAGCATGTAAAAATGCAGTTTAAAAAAAGAGGAAAGAAAAAAAAAGAGGAAAGGGAGCAAAGTTTTTTCCAAAAATGTTTAAAAGATTTTATTTATTTATTCATGACAGACACAGAGTGAGAGAGAGGCAGAGACACAGGCAGAGGGAGAAGCAGGCTCCATGCAGGGAGCCTGACGTGGGACTCAATCCCAGGACTCCAGGATCACGCCCTGGGCCGAAGGCAGGCGCTAAACTTGAGCCACGGGATCCCCCCACTTTTTTTTAGTATGTTTAGTGCCATGCACTGGCTTTGGCCTTCTGGAAACATTTTAATGAGGGAAATAGATATATACGCAGATCTAATAGGCTGAGTGTCAGAGAGGTAAAGAAGTGGTATGCTGCAGACCCAGGAAAGGTTTCCTAGAAGAGATGACACCTGAGCTGAATCTTGCTCTGTAACATAAGGGGAGGTAGAAAGACACTTTAGGGAAAAGAGAACTGCATGAAATAGTTAAAGGGGAGTTATAAATAGTTTAGTATACCAAAACTAATGTCTGCTGGATGCTATTATATGCTAGACACTTCTCAGCCTTTTTTGTATAATATTTTATGTAATTAATATGTTCAGAGAATAGTGAATAATAGCTTGGCATTCTGGAAGAAACGTTCATGAAAAGGAACACAAAACAAAGCAAATAAAAATAAGCAAACCCAAAAAGATCAAGCCGAAAAAAACAGGTTGGAATCAGATTATGGAAGGGCTGTATTATACCTAATGCCTAATGCAGTAGATATTGGAGCTAATAAAAGTTTGGGGGCAAGGATTTTACATGATCAAGGTCATGCTTTATAAACATTTTCCAAATTTAATACCTGCAAGATGATGTTGAGTGGAGAGAATTGTATTTGGGGAATCATTGAAGAGGTTGCTAAGACACGCCAACCAGAGGTCAAAAGAATCTGCTTCTGCCCTCCTGACTCTCATACACTGCTGACCTCGTAAACTTTCTTCACAGTGCCCTCTGGGGTCTTTGTTTCATTGAACTGTCCCCTATATTCTTAATCTCTTTATAGAATGCATCCTCCTCCTCCTTGCTTTAACTGAAACTTGTTCTTTTTGTTTTTTTCTCCCAGGAATCCACTTCTACTGAGCTCCCTTGAGCAGAAGTTATTGATTGGACCCAGAGCTCACCAATTTGCAAATCATTTCTAGGAATCCCCCCTCTGAGGACCATACTATCCAGCTCTCCCCCATCTTTTTAACGTCCTTACTCTCCCCTGATTCACTTTGCAACACATTACTACTGAAAGTTCTTTGGCAATTGTCACTTAGATGCTAAATCCAAAAGGTTTCCTATTTTAACTTGGGGGATTCTGTTGACCCCTTGTTTCTTGACAGATTCTCCAGAAATTATTTTTTTCTGTGTCTTCTCATACCTGTCTGGCCATTCTTTCTTGAAAGTTCTTCCTCTCCCCATTTCTTAAATATGAATATGCCTCGGGCTTCTTCCTCAGCCATCTTACCTTCTCGTCTGCCTTGCTCTCCCAATGATTTGAATCACTACCACCCATGTGTCAGTGACCTGACAACTCACAGATCCACACCACCAGGCTCTCTCCTGACCTTTAAATCTGTGTGTGTGTCCAACAGGCAGTTGGACATCACTAACTCAGTGTTTCCCTGAAACTCCAATTCCACATGCCTGAAAGAGTAGGTTCTTTCCTGGCACCCAAGCAAAAGCCTGAAAATCATGTCAACCCTTCAATTTCAATAACCACTTTTTAACCAGTCACTGAGCATTGTTAATTCTTTTTGTTATCTCTTATACCTCTCTTCTCTCCATTTTCACTCTAATTTCTCTAATTTGAAATTTCATTTTCCTTTGCCTAACATATTAGCTTTTCATTTTGATAATTTTCAAATATACATAGAGTATAATGAACCCTGATATATCATCTGGATTCAATAATTATTAACTTTCGGTCAGAGTTACTTCATCTATTATTTCTACAGTGTTTTAGAGCAAATCTAGACATCATGACATCTCACCCATTAAACTCTTCGGTACACTGCTTTATTATGCCAGAGTAACAGTATCACACGTAACAAAATGCACAAGAATACCTGAATATTATCTAAGACTCTATTTGTCTTCCACATTTTCTCTTTACAGTTGAGGCTTAGCCATATAGATAGCACATAGAACTTATTTCTTCTGAAAGGGCCTATTGAAGTCTCAGGTAAGTTAGACTGTACTAAAGGACAGGCTTTTTTTTTTTTTAAGGGTTTATTTATTTATTCATGAAAGACACAGAGAGAGGCAGAGACATAGGCAGAGGGAGAAGCAGGCTCTCACAGGGAGTCCGATATGAGACTCGATCCTAGGACCCCGGGATCACACCCTGAGCCAAAGGCAGAGGCTCAACCACTGAGCCACTCTGGAGTCCCCAAGGAGAAATTTCTAACAGTTTCTCCTGCTCACAGCTCTTGAGGCAATGGGCAGAGCCAGACTTAGGTCAAGGAGAGGGTCACTCCTATTTGAGAGCAGGGTCCCAGGCCTGAAGTCCATTGAGTTCCATCCTGTGCCCCTGTAAGAGGCATGTGGCATTGGGTGAGTCAGGATCTATTTATTACAAGACCATCGGATTCTCAGCAAAGAGATGCATTTCTGAAAACATAGTCCTTGGGTGAGGAGAATTCCTTCCTCAGAGAAAGAAAGTTGCTTTCCTGGCCAATATGATTTATTATCAAGCATAGGATAAACTGGGAAATGACAGATTAGTGACAAAGCTAATTAGCAAGCTGTTGTTCAGTGCCAGGTGTTTAAAGTTTAAGAACTAATTTCATGACCCTGTGCATGTCACCTCCCTCTGTTGGCCTCTGTGTTTTAATCTTCCAAATGAAGATATTGGACTAGATGATCTCTAAGATCATTTCCAGCTCTACCATTTTATGATCTAATTTTTGTGTAACATGTTTTTGGCATGATGAACGTTCAAGAAGTTTGATATCATTTTACAGATAGGGACTCTGAGGGCAGTGGGGCCAGGGATTTGCTTCAGATGCATGCAGGTCAGGGCCTGAATCCTTCCGGAGCTCTGTTTCATTAAGCAATCAATATTTCCTGGCTCCTGGGCGGAACTGCAGTATCTTTCCCTTCAAAAAAGCTGGTCTGTTTTTTCCCACCAGGCTTGAAGGAAAAAAAAAAAAAAAAAAAAAAACAAGGGCCAGAGTATTAATACGAAAAATATTAGAGCACACTTATTCTGCTCCCACAGACAATGAGGGTTGAAATCTCACGGAACTGAAAGACTAGCCCGTGGCACAGAGACTGCCAGGGGGGCTGTGGGAGATGGGGAACGGATCTGAGCTGCTGGGGATACATTTCGGTGTTGGTGGACTAGGATGGGGTGGGTAGGGGAGATTCCAAGGGCAGAGCGACAAGGTCAGCCTCGCCTCTTGTCTCTGTTCTTGGCGATAGCCAGTGTAGCTAGAAAGAGCAATCTGTCAAGTCTAATTAGAGTAGAACAAAGTGAACAATGGGCGCCCAGCTCTAAATTGACAGCCCAGTTTAATGGGGTGGAGGAGCTTGGGAGAGATGTGTGCTTTGCGCGCTTGGAATTGGTTCCTTCAAATGGATCCTTTCCGAACCCAAACTGCAAAACCACTTAAACTGGATTCTTCTTTACTTCACCAGAAACCTTCAGGTCCCTGCGCTTTTTAACACAGGCACAACCAGCAAAAGTAGAGAACCTGGCTGTGTTTCAGAGGTGAGGCTGTAACTGACCATAGTTACATCATGCGGTGTCGGCATGGTGCTGTGTGCATGCAACTGATATTTATTAATCTTCTCATGTTTCTCCTTTGTGTCTGGTTATATTGCTGGTATTAGTGTTTCTTTTATTATTTTTGAAATCCTTTTTATTATAAGGCTTGCAATTCTGGAAATTTCAGAAACAGCTTGAAATTTTAGTAGGACCACAAATAAGGCACATTTAAGATGCAAAAAAAAATCTTTTTAAATTATATTTTTGGCTTGTACTTTAAATGGCCTCTCTGATTTGGATATTTTAGTTCTTGCATCAAAAGTAGTTTTCATAGGAAAAGAGTGTATTTATAAATGAATCAAATGAATACATTCCTTAAAATACATGAATGCAGGTGATTGAAGCTTAAAAGCTATGCATGTTCATACTCTAAAGCCTCAAATAATGGAGGCCTGTGATCAGCAAATGTTATACTGAAGACTGATGGTTTGTTCATTTAGCTCTGCCTCGGTGTGGGGGACATACTTGAAGATGTGAGACATCTTGAAGGTGTGAGAAAACGTAATTCTTTAAAGTGGGAGAGGAAGAGTGGGAAGACAGTAAACAGTCTTTATAAGTTCCAAGTCTCAGTCTGCATGATTTTGCTATTCTTTCCTGTGTGTTAGCTCACTTAATCCTTGAAGCACCCTATGAAGTATGTTACTATTATCTTCACTCTGCAGATAAGGAAACTAAGGCCCTGAGAATTTCGTGCAAGATTAGAGAACTGCAAAGTAAGGCCTTGAACTTAGGCTGTCTGGTTTCAGGTCCAATGTACTTCTCAGCACTGTATTCTGCTAGAGTTAGGAGACATTATAGTTTAAAAATCGCCCAATTCAAAAAAAAATCGCCCAATTCATAATAACAATGCCAACATGAGAACTCTCTGCTAATTCACTGGTCCCTTATGGACATGAATGAGGCATTGGATTTTCATCTGGCATATGTCGTACTGCTTATGGTACTGTGCTGCGTGTTACTCATCTTTTCTTTTCCAGCAGCACCACTTGTTTCTTTTCTGCTCTTTCCTTCCTTTTTTTCTTTTACATGCACGTTATTTGAAAAAACAATCTTGTAAAAAGATAAAGTAGGCTAATGCTACCTACCTCACCCCAGACCTCGTCCTCTCCCCAGGGAAATCAGTTATCAATTTGGGGTATAACCCAACTGTTTTCTGTGTGTGTTTGCACAGCTGTGTGTATCACACAGTTTTGTGTCTTTAAAAAACACACATGGTAACATGCTATTTTTTATTCTGCAATTTGTTCTTACTGTTTTAGTCAGCTTGCCATGCCCATGAACATCACTTCATGGCAGTACGTTTAAATGGAATTCATTCTTTTTAATCATTACAGAGCATTCCATGCGTTGTCACTTTTACTGCTTCCTCTCTACCTCTCCTCTGCTTTTGAAATGACTTAGGGGCACATCAAGTCAACACTAATATATTTGAATTTATGGTGCGGGTAGAGACAGGCATAAGCTTTATGGCTCATGGAGCATTAATAAGAAGGGAAGGGAGTGTGGGAAGCACCGACCCCAGCCCTCTGGGTTGAGATGAGAGGCTGAGGCAGGTGTGGTGTCACCTGTCAGCAGATTTGTTACCTCCCAGCCTCTGAATTTTAGCACATTGTTGTTGTTGTTTTAAATGCACCTGTTCTCCAGAGATACATTCCTTATTTTTAAGAGATCACAGTAACATACCTGACAGAGTGCTGTGAGGATGAAATAACACACATGAAAGAACATCACAACCGTGAAGACCCAAGCCTAGTAAGTTATGAATTGTGTTTGCTTATTGTCCTCTTTCCTCTCTTTCCCTCCCACCCCAGATATTAGGTCGTGAGGCAGTTCTGCAGAGAAGGGTAGTTAGCAAATGGAGCTACAGACATTGTTATTAGATATCCTGGAGCATGAATGTGCCTACAGGCATGCATTTTAGAAAGAGACTGACTTAGCTCTGGACTCCAGTCCCGAATAGGCTATTTATTAGTTGTGTGGCTTAGGGAATGTTTTGTCATACGTAAAATAATGGTTAACTTAGTCTGGGGTGAAGTATACCTGAGATAATGTATGTAAAGTACTTATACGGTTTCTGGCATATAGGCAAGCCAGCTGCTGTCAGCCAGAGAAGCTGCGATGTCTCCACTCCGGTTTTCTGCTATGAAGCATCACTGTCCAGTTTCCTCAGGCATGACAATAAAGGCAGGCCGAATCTCAGGATTAAAGCACAGTCACTCCTTGTTCCTTTAGTCCATATATATATACTACACATCTAATACTCTGCTGGCTACTGTGTGAAACATAAAGAAAGTGCACGACAGGGCTCTTGCCCTCCAAGTGCTATGGCTATTAAATTGAAGTGCCTTGATATACCACATTAACACAGGAAAGAACCTGTGGATGAAAGGCATTCTGTACTATGCCATCGGGGTAACATAGTAACATAAACACAGCACGGTAGTATGAATATACATGTCCAGTGGCTACTTTATCAAAAAATTTTCTGTTAATTACAAAGATATATGTATATATATACTCCCTTAACATCTGCTTATGCGTTCCTTATATCTAGCCTCAGAATTATTTTAGAAGCTCATCTGGGCCTCAGTTGTGGAACTTGAGACATTAAATTAGCTGCTAACCGGGGCTGGTTTTCTGGCTGGGGGCTGCTCTCATTCCCTCTCCAGAGAGTGCTAGAAAGAATGAAGTCACCAGAAGCTGGTGCAAAGGAGCTGCTCTCTGTTCAGCCTAAGTCTTGATTGAATAAAAACATGCAGATGTTCCATTATTCTGGACAAAATAGCCAATATTTAGTAAGCAGATAAAATCCCCCCAAAGGAAGAACTGTCATAAAGAGCCTGAGGATGCCCCATAAAGGAACTGAAAGTCCTTACTTTGGGGGAGGGAGCATTCCCAAGGAGTAAACCTAGAGTATTTCTCAACTGTCACCCTCGTCCGTCTCAGCCTAGTAAGCTTTCTCTTGACCCACAGAGCCCATCTTCTGTTGTGCATGTGAACCCATTCCAGCTGGCTCATACTGGCCATAAAAAGCCACCTCAGCTGTCAAGCACAGAAGCCATGTGTGGCTTTTGGTTTAAGAATCAGTCCAGGCAGCAGATGCTCTGAGTGCTCGGAGAGTGGCATGCCTCTTCCTGATACAAGAACAAGCACCCTTTGTCTTAATTCCACACTTAAAATCTGGGATAGAAAATTCTGAATGTCTTTACTTTTAAAGGAGCTGTGTTAGATCATTCTTATTAGAAAAAAAGTCACGTATAGTATAAAAAAAGTGTGATTTCTCAGAGAACCGTTTTACTGCTGAAGGGATTTCTCAGCAGACAAAGAATGTGGTCATTAAATCATAACCCCTGTGAGAAAGCATAAGGTACAGGACATGTCATTATTAGGTTAAGTGGGATTCAAAACACTCTGTCTCCATTACCCCTTTCTGGAGATGATATTCTTATTTT